CTCGCTGAAAGCTACCTTCAGCTAGGTCTGTGCGGTGCCCTTCAGCTAAACACTGCTCTTGCATTGGCGCCCTTGTGTCTCAGGCAATACCATTCATGTTGAGGCGCTTTTTCACAGTTCCGGATATCGAGCCAAGGGTTTTGGCTGCTTGTCCCGCCGAGAGCAGAAAAGAACAAACAATTCCCAAGATTGCGCCGTAGTCGTCTTGAGTAGACAACATAGGCCCAGCATTGGAACTGGAAAGTGTCGATACATCCTATTGGATGGGCCGAGAGCCTTCATCGGGCCCCGAGTGTGTAAAACGGAGAAACAAGATGATGCGAACCGTCCAGCATTCTTACGACACGCCTTTTCCATCCGCCCCTGTCGGAGATTTTGGCTAAAGGCTATCAGGGGTGTTGATGGTTTAAGAGTGGAGGTTTGCACAGCTTGTTCATGTAGGGATTGGCCTAGCATGTCTGGAAGCTCATATGTTCTACTGGAATCTAGAAATCTCTACATCAAATACAGTGTACTGGTATGGGAGTTGTACTTTAAGGAAATGACTCGGCAAACTATACGGAGCATCGCCTGAAGTAGCAGCGTGTCGTGCAAGTGTTGATGCCTCGTGCTCGACCTTCTTTGGGAGAACTTCGCTGACCCTAAACCCTAAACCCTAAACCCTAAACCCTAAACCCTAAACCCTAAACCCTAAACCCTAAACCCTAAACCCTAAACCCTAAACCCTAAACCCTAAACCCTAAACCCTAAACCCTAAACCCTAAACCCTAAATCGTAAACCCTAAACCCTAAACTCTAACCCTAAATCCGTGCAAAAGTTTAGTTTCCCGCGGACCGGCTATGGAGATCAGCCTGCCCTCCATCTGTGCAGCTCTTGTTTCTGCCGGCGGCCTGGCTTACGCTTGCTTCTACAGCTGGCTTTGGGACTGCCACCTCCGCGCGTATCCGGCCTATCGCGGCAGGTACCCGCGGCTGTGGCTGGATCTCGCCACGCACATCCTTACGCTGAAACGGCTCTGGGGGTTCTCGACAAGTTTTCTCAGGAAGCTGCCGGACTTCTACATCGTTGGCTGCCCCAAATGTGGCACCAGTGCCATCTACCAATACCTCGCCCTTCATCCCCGAATCGTGGAGCCGGCCTTCAAGGAATCCCGCTTCCTGTGGGGCTTTGTCGGGTTAAACCTCTCGGCACTTCGCTACCGGTCGATCTTCCCGTTGTGGTGGGAATGCCCTCTTGGACACCTGACCTTTGATGCAGATTGTACAGTTGCCACAGCGCCGAGGCTTGCTGCTGCTCTTCTTCGCCAGCTGACCCCAAAGGCCAAGATCGTCATATCCCACCGTGACCCCGTGGAAGCGGCGTGGTCCATGTACAAGTTCCGATCGCGCATCAAAGGACGTTTCGACTTCGGCTGGACGTTTGACCAGATGTTCAAGATGGAGATGGACTTGGACGCTTCTCCATCTTGGGCCCACATGGATACCCTGGCTGCTTCGTTGGATGCTGGCGCCACTTCAGTTACGATCACTCCCCAAATCGGTCATTGTGGAGTGAACTCGACCCTGCTGCGGCCGCAACGCATTGCTGACGTACTTGAGGCCTTTGAGTCACGCTTTGGCCGCGACAACGTGTTGCTCATCAACTTTGCAGTGTCTTGGATCAACAAGGTTGTGCCTGCTGTGTGGTGTCTGTAGCCTGTGGTGCTCGTACCCATACATACTTTCAGTGTGACTCCCTCAAGAGGACCTAGCGGCAGATGCGCAGGGGACAGTGCGACGCATCTATAGCTTCCTGGACTTGGACTCCACGGTTGAGCTCCCTCCACTAAACAAAGTGGAACCTGAAGAAGTGCTGGATATGGCCGTGGAGCCCAGCGCAACATGGCAATCAGTACCGTTCTGTACATGCGCAAGCCGACATGTCAAGCACATGTCTGCCGCGGGTGTTGAAGGCGTGTGCTGTTGTCATGTCTGCGCATATGCACAGCACAGAGGCAGATTTAGTAGTTCGTGTGGCCAACATGCCGACAACATGGGCATTCACGGCGACAACAGTGGGGGAGTGGGGGGATGTGATGCCCTCAAACCAGGGAGCACAAAGCCTCGACGCTGTGACACAACCCCAAAAGCAAAGAGCAAGCGGTTTGCTTGTGTGGGTTCTGGAAACACGGAACACCATGCAAGTATTTCCAGTACAATTTCAACCGCTTGGGTCTTTTGCACATGGCGCTTGTCCCACGCGTGCCACGCGAAACACACTTCACAAAAGCAAGAAGGACGCAAAGCAAAGAAATGGGCTTTCATGCGCCGTGTGCGTTGACGTCCACACGTCGTCGTCGTCGTCGTCGTCGTCGTCGTCGTCGTCGTCGGCGTCGTCGTCGTCGTCGTCGTCGTCGTCGTCGTCGCGGCGGCTGCTGCTGCTGCTGCTGCTGCTGCTGCTGCTGCTGCTGCTGCTGCTGCTGTTGTAGTTGGGATTGGCATGTTCTTGCAAGTTCTGTTCTGCAGTGGCAGTCAGGGAGAAGCAGACGGCTACTGGTGCTTGTGGAGATCTGTCGGGTCTTGGTTGGCCAGGCTTCCACATTGACATGGCCAGAATGTCTAGGCATGCACTGTCATGCACTGTTGACTATGGGCTCAAATACCAAGGCAAACGGCAACGCCAATTCTTCGTGTCCGCAGGACATCTTGGAACGGCTGGACATGTATTATGCTGAGCAGAAGCATAGGTTTGCAGCGATGCTGTCCAACAGGTAGCCGGAGGCTGGAGCACTCCAGTACGATTTCGATTTGGTACGAAATAGGCAGACAGGAGGCATTAGCGCTCCAATATTCTGAGCGCCCCTCTTCACGAAAGGAAGCCAGAGGTGTGCTGGAGGCGAAAGTGCTCCAATGTGCCGGACAATTTGTCTTCTTCCTTTCGGGTTTTTGTGAAATGGGTCCAAACCCTTTCTAGTGTTGATATCATTTGATATCGTGATCTGCGAGGCGAAAGCATGCCAATCGCCTAGCCGCTCGAACTCTTCAATCTCGTCAGCTCGCCAGGAACGTGCAACAACGGTGCTGCTTGACTTGTTTGTCCCGCGGCCTTAGAGGCTCAGCTCAAGTCGCAGTTGAGCGTTCGCCACAGGCCTGTAATGGACACCACAGAGTGGACCATAGTTCACGTGGAGCGGCCATGGAAAGGGCGCACGGAGCCCATGAAGCTGATTCTGGAGGACGCGGGCGTCCCCTACGCCGTGCGCTGTGAGGAGTTGGGTCCCACCATCGCCTTCGACATGTGGCGAGGGTCTGAAGCCGCAATCGCTGTGGACAGCACTCCCTTCCCAGACTCTCGGTTTCCTCCTCCCAATTGCCCCGCTGTAGCTTGCAAAAGCTTGATGTCAAAAGGTGACTCTGTGCACTCTGACCCTTAAAAGGGAACCCCTTCTTAACCCTCTTCTGGCTCTCTTAGCAAGGGACCTTATTCAGAGGGTCCCTATCCCCAAGGGTCCCCCTAATCCTATCCCCTATGCAATCTGCAGGTCATGTTTCCTCCGGCAATTTGGCACCGACCCCATGATGGTGAGGAGGTCTTCGTGAACACTCACATCGCCTCTGTGAGGTGGGGGAGATGGCAGGGATACACCTCCTAAACCCTAAACCCCAAACCCCCAAACCCCTAAACCCTAAACCCCTAAACCCCAAACCCCAAACCCTAAACCCTAAACCCGAAACCCTAAACCCTAAACCCTAAACCCTAAACCCTAAACCCTAAACCCTAAAGTCGGGTCCGCGCAAGTCTGACAGGTACTTGGGCCAATGCTTGGGCTACGCGCCCGGCTCTGCTGCCGAGGGTGCGCGAGCCGACCAAATCGCGCAGAATGCGGTGGATTACTGGTGGGAGGGGCGGTGTTGTTTTCATCCCCTGGACAGTTCTCATTTGGGGTCCTACTCCTCGCAGAGACTTGTCGGCTTTGCTTGCGCGGCTGCGCGGCTGTGCGGCTGTGTGCTGTGCTTCTCCTTCTTGCTGTCTCCTTCTTGCTTTAGGATTTAGGGTTTAGGGTTTAGGGTTTTTCTGCGTGTTTTGAAGCTGTCGTCAGGAAAGATGCCGCGGACAAGTCTTCCCAGCAATGGAGCCGCACGCGCATGCGGTTTTGGCTGCAGCACTTTGAGAAGCTCCGGCGTGCAATTGGCAGCGGTCTTCTGTGTCACCGCTGTAAAGCCGGCCCTAGAAACCCTGGGCCCCTCTAGACGGCCCCTTAAACCCTAAACCCTAAACCCTGAACCCTAAACCCTAAAGCCTAAAGCCTAAACCCTAAACCCTAAACCCTAAACCCTAAACCCTAAGCCCTAAACGCTAAACCCTAAACCCCAAACCCCAAAACCCTAAACCCTAAACCCCAAGCGTGCGGAGGAAGATTGTGATGCGCTTTGGGCCGCGGAAGCCGTGTGCCGGCGGCGCCTCGGTCACTTTTGCAGACTTCCTGCTCTTCCACGTCTTGGATGCCACAGAGGCAGAGAGGGTTTAGGGTTTAGGGTTTAGGGTTTAGGGTCCACTTTTCTAGAGAGGGCCTTTCTGATGGTGAGAAAGAAAGACAGTTGAGCTAGACCGCCTTCTTGAGCCCGAGCTGGCTCATGAGACGGAGTTTGCGGTTTAGGGTTTAGAGTTTAGGGCTTAGGGTTTAGGGTTTAGGCTTTTGAGGCCCCTTGCTTGGCCACAGGCTCAGTTCAACGATGAGCACTTTTCGAGGGCTTGGGACGCGGCCCCCGATGGTCTCAAGGCCTACAAGGCGCTGGGACAGAGCTTGAGAACTTTCTCCCTTGTCTTGTTCTCAATTATACCGACAGGTCTTCCATACATATATATATATTATATGTATATATACATATATATATACACAAAAACATTTTTTCCAAATTCCTAATATTTTCAGCTCCCTGTTGGGAGGAGTGGATGGCTTGCCGGCCAAACCTCGAGGCCTACTTCCAATCGGATAGGCGGAAGCCTTGGGCCAAGGACTCCATGATGTGACGAAGCGAAGCATCGCGAGGTGCAAAGAGAGCGAGGGGGGGGCGTATAGGGGAGGAGGCGAGAGAGTTAACATAGTCCAAAGCCTTGGTAGCCCTTGGCAGAGGCTTTTACTCCTACCATTGCAGTCAAGACAGTACTAGCGTTAGGCACAGCAAAAGACAGGAGAGTTCTAAGCGCTCGTAGCGAGCGATGATTTGATTGCTTGCACCTTAAACGTGAGAACAAACATGCTGCTCTAGACTCCAGGTCCTGAAGCTGCCTGAGAAGACCACGCAAGCCCCGCACCCTACACCTTACAGTGTGCTTTCCTGTGCACCCCGAGGAAAGTTCCTTCATGTTTCAGGAGTTCGTCTGGCTGTTTGCACGAGCGCGCGGGATTTCGGGTGTTCCCATGTTCGCAGTCGCAGGTGCTCGTGGAAGTGTTCACGGTTCCTGTGGTGTTCGCATGTTGGCGTGTTTGCACGACCAGGTGGAGGACCCTGAAGACCTTCTGCGCAGAATCCCTGTTGCCATCACAGCACGCAAAGCTTCCTCGTCCCTAGGCCTGGGATATCAGCCAAAGGTGTACAGTGCGTTTGCCGCAGCATCCCGTTGGCGACTTAGGAAATGTTGTGTATGCTGAGTCAGCACCTGTCAGGGTGGGGGGCTTTAGGGTTTAGGGTCTAGGGTTTAGGGTCTTGTGACCTCCCAGCTACCAGTGCCCTGTATTCTGTCAACACTCGTCCAAGCCGATCGCGCGGCGCAATGCCCTGGACCTGAGCGCCTCGCCTGGATGGCTTCGCAACCTGGGAGCGCGCGAACCTTGGAGGTGTCCTGGCAAGAAACGCTTCCACTTCAGAACATATCATATTATATTACATTATGTTATATTATATTATATTCTATTGTATAGTTCCCCACCTTCGGTGTGGGGTTGTTAGATTTTAAACTCAACTCTTCTCCTCGCCCGGTAGCAGGGTAGATGCCAGTCCATCAGTGGGCAGTGCGTCGCTCCGCGCGTAGCATGCGCTACCTGTATGTTGCACTTGTGTCTGTTTGTGCGTTTGTCCTGCGCCTCCCCAAGAAGTGATGGTGGATTTCTTGAAGGCGCCACGGGGGCGAGCTGCAGGAGCAGCAGTTGCAGCAGTCGAAGTAGTCGTCGTAGCCGTGGTCGTAGTCGCAGTAGCAGCAGCAGTAGCAGTAGCAGCAGCAGCAGCAGCAGCAGCAGCAGCAGCAGCAGCAGCAGCAGCAGCAGCAGCAGCAGCAGCAGCAGCAGCAGCAGCAGCAGCAGCAGCAGCAGCAGCAGTCGCAGTCGCAGTCGCAGTCGCAGTAGCAGTCGCAGTAGCAGTAGCAGATAGTAGCGGTGCAGAGAGTAGCAGTAGCACTGGCGGCGGCAGGGGAAAAGGCCCTGGCCACGTGTGGCCACGTCATCGTCCTAAGGGCATCCATCGCAAGATACTAGTGGTAGTGGTAAGTAGTAGTCGTCGTCGCAGCGGTGTCGTGGTCGTTGCCGTTGCCGTGGCCAAAGCTGCAGATTTGGAATGGGCTTGTCCCACGGCACGGCTCGCAATCTGCACCTGCAAAGCTTGTGAGGTTGATCAGCGCCCACTGCGATCAGAAGCAGCCCTTGGCACGCGCTGCTGTGAAACTGTCGGGAATCCAAAAAGGTCCGGCGGCTCTGCCTTTGTGCTGAACGTCCTTTTGCTAGTTGCCGTGGTGATACTTGGCTGCGCAAACATCATTGCCAAGCAGATTGCAGCTCAGCCGCTGAAGAGTGTCTTGGCAAGAAGTTGCGTTCAACAACTAGCAGAGATGTCAATTAAAGATAAGAAGGCCTTGTGCTCGAAACAAGCACCGAATCCTGAACCCTGATCCCTGGGACACCGAACCCTGGACCCTGATCCCTGTGTCCAGCTATCCACGCCCTCAAAGCTTCATGCATTGACTAGATCTTCCGTTTGGGGCGCCGCCTAAATCGCGGCTAGAAGCCAGAAACAGGCGCAGCAACACAACACCCAAAGACAGGCTGTAATCGCAAACCTGGACTTGTTGACGCGCAGCCAGCAGGTTACAGCTATGTGCTGACATTGGCCGTGCAGATCGCGTACCTTCCGCTGTACTGGTGTCCTGCTTGAAAAGGGTACTCACTATTGCTCGTACCTTCTACCGCGCGTTTCACTCTAGTTTATTGATGTAAATACTATGATCATGGATATGATTATGACCGTTATGTCTTCCTTCTCAATGTGCAATCATTGTTTTCGTGTTTTTCTTGTCTATACGTATTTTCAATGATTAGTATTATCAATACAAGTATTTCTACGAAGTACAATTACTGCTACTGTTGCTGCTGCTGCTGCTCCTATTACTCCTCCTATTACTACTACCACTACTATTACTGCTGCTATTGCTACTACTACTGCTACTACTACTACTACTACTACTACTCCTACTACTACTACTACTACTACTACTACTACTACTACTACTACTACGACTACTCCTCCTCCTCCTACTACTACTACTACTACTGCTACTATTACTACTACTCCTACTACTACTACTACTACTACTACTACTACTACTACTACTACTACTACTACTACTCTACTTTTACTACTAGTAGTACTACTACGACGACGACGACGACTACTACTACTACTACTACTACTATTTCTACTACTACTACTACTACTGCTGCTGCTGCTGCTGCTTCTACTACTACTACTACTACTACTACTACTACTACTACTACCTCTACCACTACTGCTACTACTACTACTACTACTACTACTACTACTACTACTACTACTACTACTACTACTACTCTACTACTACTACTACTACTACTACTACTACTACTACTACTACTACTACTACTAGTACTAGTACTAGTACTAGTACTAGTACTAGTACTAGTACTAGTACTACTACTACTACTACTACTACTACTACTACTACTACTACTACTACTACTACTACTACTACTACTAGGTGTCGGTACCATTCGCGACGGTGCATTTTCGTTGGATTCCTAGTGTTAAAACCTAGGTTTCCCGCACATTCCAGACTCCAGTGCCCCTTCCTCTTTTCTTCTTGCTACATGTACTTGCACCGTACGCCTTGCCAGTTTGGGTTTGGGGCTGTTAAACTGAAACATCGGTATTTACGACACTTCGTGGCTTCTTTGCGTGCGAATGGCCAGAGCATCCATGTCCGCACGATGATAGCGTCCGTGTTACCAGCGCATCCATGTTGACACGATGATTACTGGTAACGTCCGTGTTACCAGAGCATCCATGTCCGCACGAGGATAACGTCCGTGTTACCAGAACATCCATGTCCGCGCGATGATAACGTTTGTGTGACCACTGCGTGCGCATGGCCAGAGCATCCATGTCCGCACGATGATAACCTCCATGCAAAAACATCGGTATTTGCCACACTTCGTGGCTTCACGGCGTGCGAATGGCCAGAGCATCCATGTCCGCACGACGATAACGTCCCTGCTACCAGAGCATTTATGTCCGCACGATGATAGCGTCCGTGTTACCAGAGCATCCATGTCCGCTTGAGCCCAGCACTGAACTCCGCTCAGTGTCTTCCATGTCAAAAAAAAACAAGATAAGAGGAACTCTGCCAATCACCTGCCATTAGCTGAAAACACTGTAAAACGCTGTAAAACGCATGCTTTTCCTCCCACTCCTGCGCAACCAACACACCGTCGCGTACGTAACCAGCGCGTACTACTACTACTACTACTACTACTACTACTACTACTACTACTCCTTCTTTACTACGACTACTACGACTACGACTACTACTCCTCCTCCTACTACTACTACTACTACTACTACTACTACTACTACTACTGCTACTACTACTACTACTACTACTCCTACTCCTACTCCTACTACTACTGCTACTACTACTACTACTACTACTACTACTACTACTACTACTACTACTACTACTACATGCCTTACTCGACCACGATTACCACTAACATTATGCGGCTGTAGGTCGATTCTGGGACTCCTGCTGCTGGTTGGCGCCGTCCCGCCGGAGCAGTTCCGCTTTGTGTGGCAGCGGCATGGATCCGGCGCCCCGGGTTTGGCTTTCTTCGCAGCTTCTGCACTGGGCCAGAAGCTAAGCCTGGGCGGAGTGAGCCATGTTCTTGCAGCTGTTGCTTGTCTGCTGTATTTGTTGCAGTATGTGGCGGGAAAACCAGGGGAGCGGGAACTGAACAGCACGGAAGAGCCAGGAGAGAGTCTCGGAGCATTGAGAGACAAGGGAGGCCTCTGTGCACAAGAGAGGAGCAGCAAGGAGAGTGAGACCATGTGGCGGTTTTTGAAACTAGGGGTACCTTATTTGGGGTCCCTTATTATTATCATTATGATTATTATGATAGGGGAATCTCATTCTTTGGGGGTCTATATTGGAGTTGGGGTCCTTATTATAGGGGAGTCCTACTCTTTGGGGGGTCTCTATTGGGGGTCCCCTTATGTTCGTCACACCCCCGCATGGTGGGATGGCCCGAGGGGATGCCCTGGGCGATGGCATCCATGCCATCTGCACAGACCATGTAGCTGGGTCATTGTTGAACATCATTTCACAGTTTTATGAATACTTAAACCCAATAAGGAACAAAAGTCCATTTTTCAGATAGTACCCCAAGAATGGTGCAGGTAAGTGGCCCGCTCATGAGCCTCTCGAACTCCTTCATCTCGATCTTTATCGCCATCCTCTCACTGTCTTCTCCTCAGACACGACTGAGGGTTTAGGGATTGGGGTTTAGGGTTTAGGGTTTAAGCTGCCTTGCAAGGTGTGTCTTTCAAGAGCGCTACTCTCTGATGCAGTGCTTGGCTCTTTTGGCGGTGCCTCGCTTGCTTTCTGGAACCTCAAACTCAAAACCCTCAACCCTCAACCCTCAACCCTAAAACCCTAAACCCTAAACCCTAAACCCTAAACCCTAAACCCTAAACCCTAAACCCAAACCCCAACCCCTTAACCCTTAACCCTAAACCCTAAACCCTAAAAAGGGCCTCAGAATGCTTCAGACCTCTCGCAGTGCCAGGTGCTTTCGGCCGTGGCCGCTCGGACTTGCCTCGATGTGGAAGAAGAGCATTTAGGGTTTAGGGTTTAGGGTTTGGGGTTTGGGGTTTAGGGTTTAGGGTTTAGGGTTTAGGGTTTAGGGGGTAACAAAATGTCCTCCAGAAGCCAGGTCGTGGGCTTCCTCCCGTCGCTGGAGGGCCAGACCACAAACACCCAGCCCGCGTTCGCCATCATTGCGGCAGGCTGGGACTGCGACGCAGCTTAGGGTTTAGGGTTTAGGGTTTAGGGTTTCGGGTTTAGGGTTTAGGGTTTAGGGCTAGGAATTAGGGTTTAGGGTTTCGGGTTTTAGGGTTTAGGATTTGGGGTTTCGGGTTTAGGGTGTAGGCACCTGCTGGCACCCGACACTGCCTCCAGGCAGCTGCTTCTTCTACGCCGTCGCTCGGCAAGGTTTTGCTCAGCTCGACTTTGGAGGTTCGGGGTGCCTGTAACCCTAACGAAGAAGTACGGCCACTTAGATTGTATAACAGGGGGTAGAAGGGCTCCCTTCTGAGCCCTTTTTAGGGTTTAGCGGAGTTTAGCGCTTCGAACCCTAAGTATGACTGTATGGTACGAGCCCCTGAGTCCCCCTAAGTAGGTTATAAGTAGACTTATAGCTGTGGTGATAACCCAGGAACCTCCAAGTAAGTGGCCTTTCTGAGGTCTCCTTTGTGATCAAGGAGCTCATGTTCAAGCGCTTCAAGGTGGGGTTGAGGGTTTAGGGTTTAGGGTTTAGGGTTTAGGGTGTCCGTTTGCTGCCTCACCATAGCCATTGCAAGGGCTTAGGGTTTAGGGTTCAGGGTTTAGGGTCGCTTGCCCCACTTCTTCGCGTATGGCATGCAGGGTCAATCAGGTTTCAATATCTCATCCCTTCAGATAGCCATAAAACATGAGGAAGACTCCAGGAATGAACTTCGAACAAGCCCAGATTCCTACAGCCATGTCATGATGACCACCTCCAGCAGCACCAGCAGCAGCACCAGCACCATCACCCCCACCAGCACCACCACCACCACCGGCACCACCAGCACCACCACCAGCACCACCAGCACTACCAGCACCACGACTAGAATGACACTCATCATCAAATAGTTGCCATGGCATCAGTGCTCGCTATTGGTTTGTTGGCTTGTGGCTTGTGTATGCTTCTGTCTCTGACTTATTGGGATGTGGAAAGTGCACAAGCGTTGAGCCCCACAGTCTAGGCTTTGCTTCCTTGAGCCTGGGGAAGCCCTAAACATCAAAAAGCAAAAAAAAGACGCCCAGAGACCCTAAAAGCCCTAAACCCTAAAACCCCAAACCCCAAACCCTAAACCCGAAACCCTAAACCCTAAACCCTAAAACCCTCCTAAAGCCCAACGACTGCCAGGCCTGGCAGGAAGTTTCTCATCCTGGCGAAGCTGCAAGCAGTGAAGCTGGAAGCGGCCGAAGCGGCCTGAACATCTTCGTGATGAACGCCCACCTGGCAGTCTTCCAGCTCCTTGGTTTAGGGTTTAGGGTTTAGGGTTTAGGGTTTGGGGTTTAGGGTTTAGGGTTCAGCAGCTCAGGTACAAGCTTGCGCTGGTCAAGCAGTTTTTCAAGCGACAGGAAAAAACCCACCGGCCCAAGGAGAATCCCATAACTTTCAACAACAAAAAGGGTTTAGGGTTTAGGGTTTAGGGTTTAGGGTTTAGGGTTCATGAACCCTTTACGCCCTGAAACCCTGAACCCCAGGCCCTGAGGCCCTGCAACCCTAAACCTCAGGCCCTGACGCCCAGAAACCCTAAACCCCGAGGCCTGGAGGCCCTGAAACCCCAGGCCTTGAGGCCCTGAAACCTTAAACCTCAGGCCTTGAGGCCCTGAAACCCTGAAACCCAAAACACCAGGCCCTGAAACCCTGAAACCCTGAACCCCAGACCCTGAGGCCGAAACCCTAAACCCCAGGCTTGAAGCCTTGAAACCCTAAGCTTCAGGCCCTGAGGCCCTTGCCCACTAAAAGTGGACCTCGCCCACGAAAAAACTGGACCTTGCCCACGAACACCCTTAAGGTTTAGATGATTATATGTAAGAGGTTTAGGGTTTAGGGTTTAGGGTTTAGGGTTTAGGGTTTAGGGTTTAGGGTTTAGGGTTTGGGGTCTCCAGCCTGGCTGTTTGTGTACAAACCGAAGGCCGGGGAGCTAATCCAACTGATGGCGAGCCAAGAACTGATGGCGAGCCAATGATTTGGGATGTTCCCTCTTCTACTGCTCCTTAATGGGGATAATAATAGGGCGGGCACTATAATCCCTACTAAGGACTGTTCGAAAAAGGGGGGAAGATCCCAAGAGCCGTCATTGCCGAACCTTTCAGACACCAAGGCTTCCTCTGACGGTTCTGCTGCTACCGCTGAACGAGCTTCTGAAGCAGACCCATGGCGAAGGACCCCCCACATGCCCTGGAGGGTTTAGGGTTTAGGGTTTAGGGTTTAGGGTTTAGGGTTTAGGGTTTAGGGTTTGAAGGAGCCATGTGTCTGCGGTTTGCTTTCTTCGCGCCGCCGTTGCTTGCGAGGCATCGTGGCCTTCTCCAGGGAGGCCTTTGCCTGCGTCTTTGGTGGCAGTTGCGGCCCGGACTCCAACCACGGTGAGCTTGCAGGACGCTGTGCCATGGGCTGCATGTTGCGTTCTCTCCCCCCTGCATATGAAATCAGGCGCAGGGTTTAGGGTTTAGGGTTTAGGGTTTCGGGTTTAGGGTTCGCGAGGTCGGCAAGGTCTGGGGGGGTGTGACTGAAGGTGTGGCCATCTTCGTGGTGCTCAACGTCCTCTGGAACTTGAGCATCCTTCTGGCCGTGAAGCAGTCCGGCGCCCTCGCCACCAACGTGGCCCTGAAGGCGGTGTTCCCTGCAGCTCGGTCGTGGGCGATGTGACCTAGGGCTGGTAACCCTAAACCCTAAACCCTAAACCCTAAACCCTAAACCCTAAACCCTAAACCCTAAACCCTAAACCCTAAACCCTAAACCCTGGTGGCAGGGAAGAGTAAGCTTTGCAGAAGAAGGGGGGCAAATCCCGAGAGACAGGTGTCTACTGTCCTGTTCGCCTATGTGGACTGGCCCCTGCTCGGGCCGACAAGCGCCCTCCTTAGGCTTCTCATGGTTTCAGCGCTTTTCAGAGCAGCAGGGTTTAGGGTTTAGGGTTATAGGGTTTAGGGTTTAGGGTTTAGGGTTTAGGGTTTTAGGGTTTTAGGGTTTTAGGGTTTGGAGCTTCGACATGCTGAGGCCTCTCCTGGCTGGTCTGGCTTTCCATCCTGATCCTGCTGCCCTCCATCGCTGCCTATCAGTGGGCAACGGACCTCCAGGCCCCTTCAAAGCTGGAAGCGCCCTATAAAGCCTTAGCCTTAGCCTCGCATCGCATGGCGCATGGCCGATGCTGCTGAGGCGCAGCGCGCTCGGCGCGCTCGGGCGACGTGCTGCTGGCCCCTCTTCGCACACCTCGCTCCTCCTCCGCTGCTGGAGCCTGCGCTATCGCGGTGAGAAAGGGCCCGCTGTGCCTGGCCGCCTGGGAGGCCCTGCCTGACGGGTTCAGGAGGTTCAGGGACAAGGAACCAAATGTGCCTGAACAGCGGTTTAGGGTTTAGGGTTTAGGGTTTCGGGTTCAGGGTTTAGGTTTAGGAGGGCTTTTAGGGTTTAGGTGATTGGCGCCGTTTGGGTGACGGTGGCAGCCGAAGAGTTTTCATGACATGGGCATGATCCGCCTAACGATCTATGGAGCTGAAGGATGCTGGATGTGCTTTCAGTGGCTCCATGTATCTGTAAGGGTTTAGGGTGTAGGGTTTAGGGTTTAGGGTTTAGGGTTTAGAGTTCAGAGTTTAGGGTTTAGGGTTTAGGGTTTGGATTGTAGGCTCATGTAGGCACCATGTGCGCCGGTATTGTATTGTTCTGGTGACCTTGCTAGCCTTGCAGTGCCTGGTTTTTCCCCGAGCAGTTTTGCCCCAATGTGTAACCGACTTGTGCGGCTTCTTGCGTGCTCAAGAGACCGAACCGCGTTTTAATGTCACCAGCCCCTGACCCATGTCCGGTCTTCTTTCACGCCATCTGGTGCTGATCGCCCTCGCCCTCGCCTCGGGGCATGACCACACGTTCGAGGTGCGGCTCCACGAGGCCTGTGGCCATTCGCGGTCCCACTTCCCCGTTGCCCATAGGAAGCCGATGAAGCCTGAAGCAAACCGTACAAAGCATAAAAGCCCAGCCAACAACAACAAATCCTCAGCCCCTCACCCACCCAGCCACACACACAGCCACCCACACAGCCACGCACACACACAGCCACACACACACACACACACACAGCCACGCACACACACACACACACACACACACACACACAGCCACCAACACAGCCACGCACAACACCAGCCCACACACAATCACGGCCCATCAAACACACACAGCAACACACACACACCACACCCACACACACACAGCCAACGCACACACACACCCACACACACACACACACACAAGACACCCCCACCAGCCCCGCCACACCACACAGCCACACACACACCACAGCCAAACACACACACAGCCACACACAGCCACACACAGCACCACACCACACACCACAACACACACACACAACACACCACCCTCAACACCACCACCACCACACACACACACACACACACACACACACCCACACACACCCACACACACCCACACACACCCACACACACCCACACACACCCACACACACCCACACACAGCCACGCACACACACAGCCACGCACACACACAGCCACGCACACACACACACACACACACAGACACACACACACACACACACACACACACACACACACACACACACACACACACACACACACACACACACACACACACACACACACACACACACCACAGACACAGACTACAGACACACACAGACACACACAGACACAAAGACACA